AACTTGAACTAATATACACACTAAAATTCTTCCCTACTTCTGGGCCTCCAGTGTTTGTCATAAGTACATTGGTCTGATGTAGCTGTCTAATCATTTTTGGGGGGGATTTTTCTTGAAAGATGACTCGTAAGGAGATCTTAACCCTTGACTTGGTGTTATCAGCACCACGCTCACCCAAGTGAGCCATGGGCTGGCCCTCTAATTGTTTTTTTGTTTTTTTTTTAAAGAGGACCAGTAAGGGGATCTTAACCCTTGACTTGGTGGTGTCAGCACCACACTCCCCCGAGTGAGCTAAGCGGCCATCCCTATATAGGGATTTGAACCCGTGGCATTGGTTTTATCAGCACCACACTTCCAAGTGAGCCACGGGCCGGCCATTAATTGTTTTCTTAAGCTGAAAAAGAATACATTTGGAAAAAGTAGTCATGATTTTAAAATAAATTGTTTTGTGTACTGGTGGCAATTACTCATTTACCTTAAATAGTTAAGAAAAATTGATTAAAACTTTTGTTGGCCTAATGGAAGTACCCCCTCTGCCTGTGAAGAGGGTGCCAAGTCAGGAGGGTGGTGGTGGAGGCCACTCTGAGCCGAGAGCACCCAGTAAACCCCTCCAACCAGCCAATAATCATCAGCAGTAGACATAACCCTAGCCACTGGACATACAGCCAGAATGCATCAGGCCGCCCCCACATACAGCTCACCTCTGGGGGCAGAGGCACAAATGACACAAAAAAACACAGAAAATAGTTTTCAGCAGTGCTAAGTGTGGAGAAGAAAACCAAGCAGGCTGATACAACAGGGTACCTGGGAACCTCTTAAGACTGATTTGAGGACAGAACAGGACAACTGAGAAGAAGCCTGATGGAGATGAAGTCACCATCTGTGGGAAGAGCCAGGTCTGAGCCTTTCATGAGGGAACAGCACCTGCAAAGGTCCCGTGGCAGCAGTGAGCTTGGTGTTTGAGACTCAGCAGCGGGGAAGTGAAGGTGGTGGCAGGAGATGTGGTCTAAGAGGTGAGAGGGCTTTGTGGCAGCAAATGAAACTTAGAAGTGGAATGGGAGATCTTGGAGACTTTTAAGGAAGGAAGCAATGAGATCTGACCTGCTGTTTAAAGTCAGAATGAGTGCTGGGTGGAGCAGGGTGGAGAGAGAAGTAAGCCACATATGTAAGAAAGCAATGTCCCTAGAGAGGTGGTAATTACTCAGAAATAGAGCACTTCCCTCTGAACTGTACAGGATGAAGTCCTCAGCTGACTCACAATGTTCCAAGTCTTTGGGAAATGGCTACCACAGACACGCAAGTATTTGCCAGGAGCTCAGGATGGGTCCCTAGAAACAAGGGTGGGAAACAGGAAACGTTTCCCGAACAGAGACTGGGGGCTTCATGGGGTCTTCCCTGTGACGTGGTGGGGTTCTCTTCCACAGAGATGGAGGAACCTCAGGGTGGAATCCCAGTCTTGTCCCAGCTCACATCTTGAGCACCCACCCATCAAGCCCTGGCATCTTGGGTCCCTGAGGCTGGCATAGCACAGATTTGGAGCCAAGAGCACAGGGTAGAGCCTACACAGGTCCACTCTCCTTGGGCACTGCCTGCCCCTTTAGGATGACAGTGGACAGCAGACCAATGGATGGATGGACAGGCAGGTACAGTAGACACAGACACTGCTCCTTCTTGAGATGAGGCATCATTCTTTGGATTCATCCAACCCCACAGCATTCAGGAACTGCCCTGCCTTGGACACCCTCTCCCCTGTGGTTTCCTTCTCTCACAACTGGACTTCTTGTAATCACTGATCTCTTCTTCATTCACCCCACCTCATTTCACCAAATAGCAAGTCCCAAGGCTTTCAGGGTAAAACCTGGGACATCTCCACTAACTCACTGGGGAGAAAGTATAAAGTAAGTGTTTTGAAGGAAATGAGGACCACAAACAGGAAGTTCTTGCCACAGCTGCCCAAATCTCCTAATTATGCCCTTAGTAATTTGTCTGCAGAAACAGAGACCTATCTGATGGCTTAACCCGAACCAGTTTACCTTTTGTCAAATCTCTTCTGCTTCTTGTAATTTATTCTTGGTGACTTTGGGTCTGGGTTTCTCATTCACTTCTTTACGGGACAAGCTGCATGGTAGGGGAATTTTCGTCTCATGAGGATCATTTAACCTAACATACATTTTTTTTTCCTTTTTGTCTTTTTTCGTGACCGGCAACGGGATCGCAACCCTCGGTGTCGCGCCCGCACCACGCTCAACCAGTGAGCGGACCGGTCTCTATATGGGATCCGAACCCTCGGCGGGAGCGCCGCTGCACTCCCAAGTGCTGCACTCTACCGAGTGCGCCACCGGGCCGGCCTGTAACATAGATTTCTTAAAAAACATTAGTACAAGGTCGCAGCCACCTAACATATGTTTGAATTAGATATATACAGATCCCAGGAAGGCTGATGAGAGAAAACACACCCCCTCAGATATGTCTATTCACAGCAGTGTAGTAGTAATGGGGTGAGTGTTGTTCCCTTTACCTCGATCACACTTCCCTGACAGCTATCTGGCTTGATCCCAAACTTCCTACAGATATATATATATATTTTTTTGTCTTTTTTCGTGTCCGGCAACGGATCGCAACCCTCAGTGTTGCGCCCATACCGGACCGGGACTGGCAACGGGATCGCAACCCTCGGTGCCGCGCCCGCACCTCGCTCAGCCAGTGAGCGGGAACCGGTCTGTATGTGGGATCCGAACCCTCGGCGGGAGCGCCACCACGCTCCCAAGCGGCGCACTGTAGCAGTGCGTCACTGGGCCGGCCCCTTCCTACAGATCTTTGCTCAAATATTTTTCTCAGGGAGGCCCACCTTGGCTACCCTATTAAGAGCTTCAACACCAGCTGAAATTCTGCCTTGTCTGCAATCATGTATCACCATCTGACACACCATATTTATTTGTTTATTGTCTGCTTCCTCTTCATTCAAATGTCAGCTTCAGAGTTTTGTTTTGCTGTTGTTGTTTTCTATTCTGTTCAATGCTATGTTTCCAGCTCCCAAAATACTGCCTGGCACAGACTTCAACAGTTATTCAATAGTAATAGGAATAATAATAACCACCACCACCACCTTTTAGGGTCCCTCCCACACCAGGACTGACAGCATAACCTATTTCCCCACAAATAGCATGTATGTGACATCACTGTCACAGGTCTAGGTATAATCCCCAACCAGGGCCTCTGCCCCAGCAGTAACGGCATGTGCTCAGATGCTCTGCTTTGGTCCTAACCCCCTTCTTAAGACTCCCTACCCACTTCATCCCCAAGCGGCCAGGAATGGCCCCCGATCTGCAAATATGTGTCTCTGAAACCAGGTGCCCAGGGCTGGGCTGTGCAAACTTACCCTGGGCGAGGTCCATGGTGCCCATCTTGTTGACACTGGTGGTCTTTGAAGGTTTGGGGTCTTCTCAGTCAGCACTATGGCTTTAGTGTGTAGGCCTAGAGGCAGGCTGCATAGGTTCTAATCCTAGCTTCACCACTGAACTAGCTGTGTGAGCCTGGCCGAGCCACTGCAACTCCCTGTGGCTCACCTCACCCACTGGCCTGAGGGTGGGATCTACATGGACCTCACAGAGAGGTTGTAAGAATTCAGTGAAACAATCACATGAAGCGTAGCACATAGCAAGAGCTAAGAAAACATGAGCTATGATGTGGCTCCAAATGGGGTCACCCTGGGTGGCTGAACAAAAGGCTTCATTCTAAGAATTCCAGAGTGCTGGAAGCAAAAGCTGGGCCTCTGAGTGGTGCCCCAGTGGGGCAGACTTGAGGCCCCAGTTTATCCACACTCGGACAGCCTGCTTCTCATTGGACCACAGGGGCCCATTTTGGGAGTGGGATTTCCCCCGGAGGCCCTGAAATCAAATGGGACCTGATTATCAGTCTCCCCCCATCCCCAACCATTCTAGAAGGTGACAGAATTAATGGTGGCACAGGATATCCAAAAACAGCGTCAATGAAATGTTTACACAACCTCGGGCACACTGCCCAGCCCTGTCATGGAAGAATCAGCTGCAAGGAGTAGGGATCAGGGAGGGGAATGTGAAAAGGTCACCCTGTTACCCTATTATGGAGGAGGGGGTGGTACCTCAGTATGATAATTCTCTGGATGGATAAAAGGGCTACTTTGAAACAGCCATGTTCAAAATCGAAGTCATGTGGTCAAAATGAGCCTCGAGTTTGCCACCGAACCGCAGCCCTGGCCCTTCCCAGGAGTGTCTGACAGACTTACCGAAGAGCAGCGGCTTGAGGCTGAGGGTTCGGATGAAGTGTTCCCTGTCGGTGACCAGCTGGACCTTACGCTCGTGCCCCACCTAAGGAAAAGGCGCGTGGCTGGCAGCTGGGACGCCAGGCCGCGCTGCCCAATAAGGGAAAAGTCACCCCGGCCCGGAGCGTGACAGCAGGAAAGTGAGTGGGTGCGCGTGGGACCGACACAGAGCAGTGCTGGGGGCCGCGTAGGGGTCCGGGGCTGCTGGGCCGTGCAAGCTGGAGCCCAGCGGGGCGGGAGGTCCTCACCTTGATGCCCTCAAGCCGGGTTAGGGGGCCCAAGGTTGGCGCGGGCCCGGGACTCTGGGCGCTGCGCTGGGGCCCCGGGTCGGTGTTCTCGTCGCCATTGCTGTAGTGCACGAAGAGCAGCAGCGCCAGCACGTTGCCCAGGTACAGGTGCACAAACACCATCAGCACCAGGAAGTAGGCGCGCGAGCAGATGCCGCGGGGCTTGCACAACGGCCGCACCGGTGCGTCCTCGCTGTCGCCCATCCCGGCCGCTGACCTGGCCAGGCCGTGCGTAGGTGGCGCCCACTGCGGACTCGCGGCATCTCCCGCCACCGCTGCCTCAGGCCGCTGGCTTGTCGCCGCCGCCGCCGCCGCCG